TATAAATATCTTGTAAATCTGATTGCAGAACACATGGGAAACAGGTACAGTGCCCAGGAGGCATCAGTGGCTGGTTTTCAGATTGAAAGATGGTCATGGATGGGGCGTCTTGTCTTTCAGTATTTTCACTAGTGATATTGTTGCTGGAATTGTTGCTGAAATAGAACTTTGTTGAGCTCTTAGGTGGTGTAAAAACTTGACAGCTGCAAGCATTTTTAGAAAGCAAGTCTAGAAATCAAAGTAGTAGATGGGGATTAGGTGTGTGGTGGGTTTGGTTGGTTTTAATTTTTTTATTTTGTAGAATGCCAGTTAGTGTTGATAAGTGCAGAAGTTAAAAACTTAGGCAAGAATGCAGAAAAGTTCAAATACAGAATGGGAATAAGTAGCTAAGTGTCAGGCTGTACCCAGCAGGACCGGGATGACAGAGTAATAAATCATAAGCTGGATGTGCATCAATGAAACCCTCTTGCTGTGAAAAAGGCAAATATTACATTAGGATGAAAAAATGAGACTCTGAAGCCTTACAATCTGATAATAAGGCATCAGCTGCAGTGCTGCACCTGGTTTAGGGCAATAACTTTCAAGGAAGATGTGGATCTGCCTGCAAGATTCAGGGCAGGAACAGCAGGAAGGATGAGGTTACCAGAAGCCTGCACTGTGGTGAAGGGCTGGTGGAGGAGCAAGTGTCTAAAGCAGAGAGAGGGACTGGTGCTGGACAAGAATCTTATAAGACAAAAAAACCTAACCGCTGAGCTATGTAGTTGAGGGTTTCATCTGAAGCTTGAAAGAGTAGGTCACATAGCTGGTGCCTTGGCTAGGTGAACTCTCAAGTTCTCTCCTGGGGCTCTGGTCACTTGCCTTTGATGCCTGTGGACTTGGACTGTCCTCCCTTCTTGGCTCAAGTTGTCTGGGTCTAGAGTTCAAAAAGCACGGAGGGTGTGATACAGTTGTCTGAATAAAAGATGTCACCTATACTGTGGACAGAGTAATGGCGCCAAGAGGGGAGAAAACAGGGCAGAAGTGCTAGACCTGGCTCAGCTGTGTGAGGACTCCAAGGGAAACTGCTAAGAGAATTACTGAAAGAACCTGAAGCTATGTGTTAGTTATTTTGAAAGCTGAAAGGCTGTAGGTGATTTAGGGCCTGATATGGATGGAGGTCTGGCTGATTTATTTTGTGTACTTTACTCTTATTTAGATTGCTGCCTTATGTGATTGCAGCAATGTATCATAAACATAAATGTGTACATTTGACTGACTGCCTCTCGGTTGCAGGATAAGAGTAAATTACAGATAATGCATTGTTATTATGGTTAGGAAGTTGCATCAGTGCTACTATGGAGAATTATTTTTTGTGCTTTGGTAGAGGATTTTTTATTTCCTGTTTGCAGGATGGGGTTTAATACTTTCTCCTTCTCACTTCTGTTTATATTTTTTTTCCCCTTGAAATTTTTCTCAAGAGTCAGATCTTGGATCGGGTCAGACCAGACCTCTCGCTTTTTATCTCATTTCTGGCCATTTTAGAAGGTGAATAGAAATACTTGATCATTGCTTTTCTTAGAATAACAATTTTTTTAAAGTTTATTGAAAGGAGGCAGGGCATTCTTCAACATCTCTGCAACACTGAAAAATAAGGGGATGGAAAATGTAGCCATGTAATATTTAGCTGCAGTAATTATATTTGCATAATTACTAATTGCTTGGGTGAAAATGCCTCTCAAAAGGGAACTGCAGCAGTATCCAGTGCTTATCAGTAATTGGCAAGACTACTAATAATAAGCAAATAAATAAATAAAAATAAAAAAGTGCAAAAACACCCTTACATTTGGCTTTGGAGCATATGCTACCAGAGAAGTTCTCTGCATGAGGTGTTGGGTTAGCCAGGCATTTCTGAGGCTTTGTGAAGTTGCAGAGCAGCTCTATAAAAGGAGATGTCATTAATGCTGAGACCTTTTATACTTGTTCCATGGGTCACACACTGCTGACCTCAGGTTTTCCTACATGGGAATAAGCAGGGGAGATATATAGTATGAAAAAGAGAGAGAGAGAGAGAAGCAGCATGGGTGAGATAGAATGCAGCTCTTTCTTGACAGCCAGGCTGATTTCTGCTTTTTTTCATGGATTTTTTGGCAATCAGAATGTCCTCTGTCCTGTTTAACTACCCAACCCCACTTCTCTGAGGGTAAGCAGCACCATAGTTCCATAAGCAAAGAACCTGAAAAAACATTTCCTCTGACATTTGGAATATGGGCTTCTTAATTTGTAAAGCTACTGTATTTAGCAGAGAAGTAATTCCAAATCTATAGATGATAAGCTGTTTGATTATGTACTTACCTAACAGATTTTACTTGTCTTTCTGTGTTCAAAGATTTCTGTTTTTTTGACAGGAACTGAAGAACTGTATGATCATTTACTTGTACCATATCTCATATGTAGTTCTAATTTTATAACTTCTTGATACCAGAGTCTTATGTGTTAAACAATAGGAATAGCTTATTTGTTCACATTCCATGGAGACAAGACTTATTGCTTGGACTGGCCATCCTCATTGTGAGCAAGGAACAGGGCGTCTGAAATTATAAATCAAGTTTTTGAAGCATCAGCAAGCATGAAGTACATATAGCATTTTGAGAAGCTTTGTATAGTGGTTTTGTACAGTCACTTCCCTTTTAAATTTTTATCTATTTGTTATTCTTATTGGGATGTAGCATTTTTAGACCTTTAATACGTTTCCTTCTGTAGACCTCCCTCTATAGGCTTACATCCATCTTCAGAAAAGGGGTGGACCAGTTTTGATAGGTCCCTTGTGTTCACCTGCCAGTGATGTTTCCAAATCCTCTGTGAATACTTCTGTCCAGTTCAGACAGTGTCCATGACTGTACTGGTGAAATACTACCACTTCTTCTCTGAATCCAACCTTTTTCTACTATGTTAGTCACCTCCAAAAACAACAGTGAAAAATGCCCCTCTGCTTTCTATGGTCTGACATTGCATAATTTGCCATTATACTAATCTTAAGTCTTTCCAGTAGAGTTCCCTTGTGGGAAAGTGTGGTTTCTGGTGGATTTATTGTGGCTGGCTCATGCCTCTATCTCTACTTCCCAACTACTCCAGGGCTTGATCTGTCTCTTAATTCTGCATTTCATATCTTCTGTATGTCTGGGTCTAGAGCAGGCCATTTGGCATGCAGAATAAATGCAAAACAGTAATGGTGTGCAAGATGTCCTGTTATAAAGGGAGGGAGATGAACTGCAAAGGCCTTTTAAGCATTTTTCTTGAGTCATTCCTTCCTGCTCCTTCACCAATTGGTTTAATAGTGGGAAACGCTGAGCTAAAATACAGCTGCACACCTGACAATTTGAATGCTACTGGCCATTAATAACCGTTGCTTCTCATGCAATCTGAAATATGTCCACATTAAATACATTTTTAGTTAGTTTCACATATATTTATTGATATATTTAGTCTGTGAAGTGTGCAAGGGTAGAAAAATCTTTTCTGATGTCAAGCTTAGTTTGATGGTTTGGGTTGCAAGGCAGGTCAGCTTTGAGTTGGCTTAATTTAATGTCTCATGATGAAGCAAACTGAGCTACCCTGAATAGCTGAAGTTTATAAAAGCATTACTTAGGATATGGGATTACTAGAATGATGTGCTGTTTTTTTCGCTTTATATTTTTCTAAAATGTTAATTGATTATCTTGTTGGATTCCTGTCCTTTGTCCTCCTGACAGATGTATGTTCCTTTTGAGTGAGTACTGAGTGCCAGAATTGGCAGGAAAATCTCTAAATCTTGGGGGGTAGAGAAACAATAAAGCCTGTCCCTCTAAGGAATTTCTGTCATTCCAGATAAATGACACATCTTGTTTGGATACTCCTATTCTGCCTTGGCTAGTCTGGCAGTTCTGAAGATGCCAGGCCTGCCACTGAGTGCCAAAGAGAGGGAGAAGCAGTTCTTGCTGCTGTACAAAGTGTTGTATAATTCAGTAACTCAATTTTTGGCAGTTCCATAAATATATGTTTGACTTTAAGCAGTCAAAGTTCAAGTAAGGGGATACCATAAAATAAACAGAAGACTTTGAACAGTTCCAAGGTTGCATACTTGGTGCAAATTATTTTTCTGCATAACATGATATAGCTTTGTAGAGCAGATCATGATAATGTTTATGATTTGACTTTTAAAAATGGTTCATTAAAATTACTCTTTATTCTTTTTTTTGTTTCCTTCTTTTGTTCCCCCAATTTTATAAAGCCCTGTACTGGGGCTTCTTCTGGAGTTTCTTTAGTTTTTCTGGTGTTAAATAACAATTACAGCTTTATCTGAACTTAGTTCCTGACATTCTTCCTGATGCTGACCATGGGTATTAATTACAGTGTTTCTGGGGTGGTGGAACTGTGGTGGTTATATTTGAAATTGCTCTTTGCTTTTGTTTGTAAGACTGTCTTTTCAATTGCTTATGATTGTGCCAAAGTTCTGCTATCTGGGCTGACACTTCCATCTTCAGGAGAGAAGGAGGTAGCCAAGTTAGGATTGGAGTATCTCAAATAATACAGTATATAGTAATTATTTACACATTGTGTGAACAATGTCCATCTTTCGTAAGCTGCACTCTTAACTGGATGTGTTGGATGTCCTTGGCAAATAAAATTTTTTTCTGTGGATTAATTTGGGACCATCTATGATTTGCTGCCATTTAAAAAAAATATTTTTTTTGTTCTGGATTTCAGAAAAACTACTTCTCCTATTAGAGACTCAGATCCCCCAAAAGTAAGAGGTGGCCCTGTACAGTCTCCACAGATTCATCATCATTTTGGTCTCAAAAGTGTATTGTTGAGGTGTTTCCCTTTGTCCTGAAACAGTGTGCACTGTAAATTTTTGTGCTTCTGGAGTTAAAGTAACATCAGTATCATAGGTGGAAAAGGAAGGAAGACGTCTCTACTGAAACAATAGAGAATTAGATAAATTGGTTATATTTTACATAATTTTTTTTGCTTTGTTCTTATAGAAAAAGTACAGAAAAGGATCTGTGGATATTTCAAGGATTAAATGTGTAGAAGTTGTAAAAAGTGATGGTATTGTTCCCTGTCAAAATAAATATCCCTTTCAGGTATGTTACTTTTATATAAAATATATAAGTTACAGCGCTCTTTTCAACAGCACCAAGCCATTTGGATGCAACTGGCTTGAAATTGCTGTCATTTCCAAATACTGAGTCTACTCTCTGAGACTGTGTGGGAGGTGGTTCAGAACTGGTGATTAAAAACCAACCCCAGCAAGCTGTGCTGCCCCTGAAGTCCCCTCCCTTGGGAGTTTTTCCTGATAGACTTGGTGTTTCCATTTTCCCCACCCTTTCTGCTTCAGTTTTGCCTGGAAAATGCCTTGTCACAGTCTGCCTGCAAAACGGGTTGCCTGGCAGCCTGTTCTCCCTATCTTCATTCTTTCACATTAAATTAAACTGTATTACCATTACATTATATAAGAATATTAATCTAAAACTTGTTGTATTTTCTTCCATTATTAATGTAATGGAAATAAACACAGAAAACAAAGTGCTTAGAAGGGAAAAGGAATTGTTTAGATGTAAAGGGTCGGATGCTGTGTCTGCTTATGATAAAGGGAATTGTTGTAGTTAAGGGGAACAACACTTGCTTTCCAGCAGTACCAGCAATAAAGAAAAAGAAGACAGGACTCACTCTAGAGCAGGACATAAATACAAGGAGTTATGAAATGGCTGGGAACAAAGGATGTCTGATTATGAAATAGCTTTAGCAATTAAATGAAACTGTTTTTAGAAAACACATGGTGAAGAAACAACAAGACAAAACACAAACCAAACATTTCAAGCAATGCTCACAAGATAGTGTACCATTACAAGATCCTTCCTTATTCTACTGAAAGCATCGTATTTGAATAGTAAACCCTAATAGCCTTTTCCAAGTTCTTGTATTTTGTGCCTGAGTATGTATTTGGATTATTTCTTTTCCCCCCTTCCAGGTTGTATATGATGCTAATACGCTTTATATTTTTGCACCAAGTGCAGAGAGCCGGGATCAGTGGGTGAGGAATCTGAAAGAAGGTAATGAAAATTGCTTATACTTCACATCTGACATATGTAGATAACTCTTACTTGAGCTCACCGGCTGGGATGGAGTTAACTGGGTGCTGTGTTTTGGATTTGCGGCCAAAACAATGTTGAAAATACACCAGTGTTTTAGTTGCTGCTGGCACAGCATGGAAGCTTTGCCTTTTTCTCCCTCTGCCCCCACAGTGAAGGAAGGGGCTGGGGGTGGGTAAGAGGCTGGGAGGTGACACAGCTGAGACAGCAAACCTGAACCAACCAAAAAGGACCTTCCAGGCCATGTAATGACAAGGCTGGCAACAAACACTGGGGTAAAGGAAGATGAGGGTTGGGATTTTCTGGCTTCCATATTGGCAGTTGCTCAGAGTCTGACTGGGCATGGATCTGCTTTGTGAGAGATGGTGAGCAATTGCCTTTGCATCACTTTTGGGGTTTTAAAAATTTCCTTTGGTTATTAAACTGTCTTCATCTCAAGTTATTCTCTTGTGCTTTCTATTCTCTACCCTGTCCCTCTGGGTGTGGAGGCGAGTGGGCAAATGGCTGTGTGAATGCTTAGCTGCTTGCTAGTGTCAACTCACAACAAGGTAGAAAAACAAAACGGTAAAGCTCCTAGTGCATGTATCTGCTGATTTTTATTTTTATTGGGCCAGCTCATTGTTTGCATACACATCAAGTTATAACAGGTACTGTGAGTATCAAACACCCACTGATTTAATTTGACTTGTGACGTCCAGCTGCAATCAGGATTTGACTCTACATTTTTGTGCAACATGTAAATCATCAAAAAGCTTATCCAGGCTTATTAATGGCATTGATGGAAAGTTCTGTTTGAATAGAGCTAGACAGCATGTGGGTTTTACACTGATGTAACGTGACAGGAGGCATCTCCTCTGAGATGCAATCTGATTAGTGCTATCATAGTGAGTAAAGATCTTTTATTCAAGAGGCTCTTAATGCTTTCTGCCACCATCAAATGCTCACATTAATTGCAGGTGCTTTGCAAAGTAATAAGAAATAATTCCTGGCTGGGGACCATAGGGCAAGGAATAACCTCTGAAACTCAGCAAGCCAATAGGATGGGGGTAAGGAGCCTTACAGATCAAACACAGGCATTGTGCTATTAAAATAGTGACAAATGTCAGCTATCTTTCCCTCCAGAACACTATTTGTAGAGGAAATTGAGTCACTTGCAGCAGTAACAAAAAGAAAAGGGACAGGCTGAGCCCCCAGGGCCTTCACAGCTACATGACTGCTTGGCCTGGTGCAGGTGGGTTCCTGGTTCTCCTTTTGTTGGTGTATCAAAGGCCTGCCCCTGCTGCAGTGGCTTGTTTAGGCAAGGAGTATAGCACTCTCTTCTGGAATAAAGCAGTGTATTATCCAAAAAAATGTCCTCTACTCTCCTTACGTCACCTCCACATAAACTTGCATGAAAGTTGTTAAGAAAAAAACAATTATAAAGCAAGGACAAGTGAAGATTAATGCCTCATGCCAAAGATACTGTAATATTTATTGAAAATTGCCCTCTTGCAGGTTTTTTTGTATCTTTCAGTACGTGTTCTTTTTCTTCTTGTAGAAATAAAGAACAACAGCAATATAATGGTAAAATATCATCCTAAATTCTGGACAGAGGGAATTTATCAGTGTTGCAGACAGACAGAAAAATTAGCACCCGGCTGTGAAAAATATAATCTTTTTGAAAACAGTAAGTACCTAAGTTTTCATATGAGGTTGATTTGGCATATTTTTCTTCTTTTTTTTATATGATCCTATCATCACACCTGAATGCCCTAGATATTAGGAAAATTTAGAGAGCAGAGTGAATCACTGATATTGTGCCCAAAGTAAATAAAAATATTTTTAATTTAAATGCATTTTGTAAAAAACAGAAAAGCCAGTGAATTGTCCTTGCAAAAATGTTTTGAAAAATCTGAAAGGAAAATTGAGGTTGCTGAGTTTGTTTCACTTGGTTTGTTTTTCCCTGAAACTTACTTGGCCAAGTGCTTAACTCAGGCTGAGGATAAAACCTCATGGCAAAGTAGATTCAGCTAGAAATCCTTTCCAGCACTTCAGTTTTAAAAAATAACTTAAACACACCCACATAAAAGATTAATGTTGCATTCGGTGTTACCATATCAGTGTAAAAATTATCCAAGAAGGCTTAATGTATTTATAGACACTACTGAATTTTCTTAGAAGCTTGTAAATGTCCATATGCCAAACCTGGACAAACTGTGACTTCTGTAGGCACGTGCATCTTCCAGCATCTGAATCACAGATTCTGCTTGTTCAGCAGCTGATGCTGTAGCATGCAAAGATGTTGCAGGCATGACCCTCACTGCAATATTGTCACACATAAGGACACAGTAATTTAGTCCTCAATTTAAGGAAAATTCTATACTAGGAAAAGAAATGGAGCCATTGCTTACCTCCCAGTGAAATCAACAGTGCCTGGATGGTTCCCTATATCAGGGCCTTCAATGGGAACGGTGGGGACCTGTGGATTTAGTTGCATTAAAAGACTTGAAGAACAGATCCTGGTCAGCTTTATTTGTCAGGATGGTGTAAAACCTGACATATAACTTGACCTTTTAAGTGGAAAAACAGATGTTGATATGAACAGATGCATTATCATGGTGACAAGAACACTGCTGCCTTTTTAAATATCTTTTTTATCTCTCTGTCTTTCTGCAGCTGAGAGCAGGTTCAGGGATTTCTGCATGGCACACTCAGATGTGGCACAGATATTCTAAAATACTATGGTGAATGGAGCCTGCCATTTGATTTAGAATGTTTTTGCAAGAATATTTTATCAACATTTTCCTAATGCTTAACTGGACCTGTCTTTTTTCCTGACCTTCTAAACTCTCTTGTAAGCTAGCTAAGATATTAAGACCTTATAATCTGTAATTTAAACCTTTTATCCTTTTTTTACCTCTGCTCTGTTTCTAGGTGTAATGAGATTTCCCTCTCCAATGCCACAAAAAATTGTGGTAGGTAATGCCTTTAAAATTTTGCATAGATAATTGCTGGCTTTTGAAATGGCATTTAGATTTCCTGAGATTCATTCCATATCCTATGGCTAAGGTTTGTTTCTGTGTGTGTCAGTGGACATCATGCTCTTATCTCAGGGTGGAAATACCCCTCTGAAATTCAGCTGCACCTCTTAGCGGTATCTGTACTGCTGCTGGGAGAGGCAGTCAAAAAGCAAGTGCCAGCCAGGGTTGCCCTTTACTGGCAGCTGTGGGGCTGCAGAGTGAGCCAGCCCTGTGGGTAGCACCTGGGGGATTGTCTGCCACGCTCTCCAGCTGCCTCCATGGGCCACCACAGCTTGGTCCTGGAGACAACCTAGAATTAGCTCAGCTTTTGCCCCTGGGATGCTGGGCTGGTTTGCACTGGTGTGATGGTTTGAGTGGGTGGGGTGGGATAATGGAGCAGCACAGGATGATAATAATGTTGGGTCGTTTTCAGCGAAGGCCTCCACCACCTGTTCCTCCAGTTGAAGAAAATGGCCATGAAGAGGAAGATATAGTAGTAGCAATGTATGATTTTGAGCCTACAGAGCATCATGATTTAAGATTAGAGAAAGGTGAAGAATATACAGTGATTGAGAAGAATGACATTCACTGGTGGAAGGCGAGAGACAAATATGGGTAAACACAAATTCCTTATTTTTCATTATTACGTTAATAAGACTGTTTCCCTGTTGCAGTAGTTTATATTGACTGTGTGTCAACAAATAACTGTTAGACCCTGCTTTGGATCCCAGCCCTGAAATTTCATCCATATCCTTCTTCCCACGTAGAAACCAATATTTTTAAAGTGAAGTGCTTGATAGATGATGAGGCCTCAGTGCAAAGACTGTTGCAGAGCTGGAAACTTTCACAGTTCTACTTTCTGTCAGGCTTTGTGATTTCCCAATTAAAGCATCAGCCAACCTGCAACACCTCACTAGACTGGAACAGTACTCCCTATTCCCTGTGGAACAGATCATTAGGGAGCAATATACTTAACAGTCAGCTCAGCAGGCTCCAACTTCCAGACTTCATCTTATTTAATAGCTGGATCATTAAGGTCAATCTTTGAATGAGTTGGGAGAGAGTTGCAGTAAGGTGCCTTAATTACTACAACTTTACATTCCCTGGATTAAATTTTTTCCCTGTGGTTTTAAAGGTGAACATTTCCATACTTTAATATTTATCAGGTTCCTGTTGCAATATGTTAGGGGTTAATGTGACTTACCAGGCTGTGGCAGGTTCCAAATACATTTCCAGTGATTGGCTGAGACCACTGAAGTGATAAAGCAGCAGAGGGTTACTCTTCTTCATCCCTTCTGCTGGTTTGCTTGAAGACTTCTGCTGCCTGTGTCACTTCTAAAGGTGCAGTGAAAGCTAATGTGGAAATGCTGATGCAGAAAATCAGTTTCCGTATAATCAGAAGTAGAGTGGGTGGGTCAGTAACAAATAATTACTGGTAATTAGCGGAATAAAACACTGTATTCTAGGCATGCATTTTTACACATTTTCACTCAGATTATGTATTTTATTTTTTTAGAAAACAAGGCTATATTCCAAGCAACTATGTAACAGGAAAGAAGTCCAACAACCTTGATCAATATGAGTGAGTGAATATTTGAATTAAAATATAGAAGATCATAAAATGAAAGCTATGGTTTGAGAATTACCAAGTACTTTTAAAGTTTTGAAGGAAACAATTTACATATGATAGTACTGATCCCAGAGACTAAATGTAAATATTTCAAACATACATATATTTGCTCTGATTCTCTTTTTTTTTTTTTTTTTCTGTCATATATAATGTAGTGTAAAGCCAGTGAGATGGCCGTGATGCATGCAGTTTTTAGGCTATTACTGTTAAAGCAAAATAAACCTTCCCTATTCTCTGATAGACAAAGGGTAACATTAAAGGAAATGTATCCATTATGAGTGTGCTGAGTGCTTTTTTAGTATTAAAGTTGTGTGTCTATCCAAAGTGTGTGGCAGTAAGATAGTAGAATATAAAACAGTGGAAATCATTCAAAGTAAACAGATCAGAGATTTTGGAAAACAGCTCCAGTATTCAAGAAAATTTATTACTTGATCTCAGTGTATGCATGTAACTTATTAGCTATAACAGTATAGCTTTTTTATTTAAAAAAAAAGGCAAAAAAAAAAAGCTTTTTCCAGTTGATGTTTAATTATGGAGTACTTATTTAAGGACATCAGGGTAAAATTTAACGCTGTAGTCTCCAAGCCTGTTGTTCTTGACATTCAGATTTCAGTATAGCATAAAACTGTTGTGCTTGAGAGCTTAAGATGTATTTAATGACTTTTAGATAAAATGGAACTGCAGGGAAATAATAATGAAAACCAGTTTACAAAACCGCATTTGTTGGTCCAAAACTCTACTCTCAGCCACGTAGGGCTCCTATTGCTGTGTTTTGACAGAAGGTAGAATTTCCTCTGGGATTTTGCCTGCAGCCTTACATGAGGGAATTACTTGTTCTTTGCTGCTTTCTCATCTTTGTAGCTCTTGCTAAGAGACCTGCCCTGCTCTGGGCTGGGCTGAAGGGCTGGCAGAAAAGGAAGGAAGGAACTGGGCTGCCTTATCTAGTCCAGCCACTCTGTGCCTTACCACCTTGTGGCTGTAATTCTGAGTCAGTTCAGGGAGGATTACTCCACGTCATCTACCAACTGCAAGAAACTACTATCTCCAGAAGAGCAAAACTTGATTAGAAGCTGTCGTGCCACTTCCCTGCTCAGTAACCACTGTGGCGTCACAGCTCAAGACATGAGCTGTGTGCCATGTCCCATGACATTTAAGAGCTGCCTGTTTTTCCTTTGGAAATTATTTGCTGCAGCTGGCTGAAATGTCAGTGCGTCTGTGGCTGCTTTAACCTGTCCATGCAGCACTGAGCTCAAGGATGTGACACGACATTTAATTCACTTTTGACCTCCTCTTTGGTAGCTGGGTCGGTCCTCCCTGGAAAACCAGAGCCATGACGTTACCGCATGAGCAGCGGAGCCGCCAGCTCTGCGGGCGGCTGGACCAGGGTGTGTGGGCAGCTGCTGCCCCGGGTTCACAGCAACTACTGCCACCAGCCTGAGTGTGTTTCAGGAGTTTTTTTGCCAAAAAAATGAGCTCAGTTACCTGAATTTTATTTGCTTCTGCAGGATCTCACTGGATTTGTTTCAGGGCATTTTTATGGGATAACTGCACAATGTAATAAAACTGACTTTTGCACAGTAAAAAAGGTTCAGTTCTTGACTTCTAAAATTATTAAATCTTTAGCTTTGTGATACTTTGCTTCAAACATTTTATGTAAATCATGTACCTTGGAGAAGTTTTGATTACTTGTGTTGTGTTGCAGGTGGTACAGCAGAAACCTAAACAGAAGCAAGGCAGAGCAGCTTCTCAGAAATGAGGTGAGTACAGCAGCCTTGTAGTATTAACTGTGAAATTCATGTGAAGTATCTTCTTTTATTAAAGCAGAGGCTTACTTTGGCATATGCCAGTCACAGGACAAGTAGAAGAGGTATGCAGCTTAAAACTGGCTGTAGGTAACTGTCAACGTGCTTGTGTTTTAGGATAAAGAAGGTGGTTTTGTGGTGAGAGACTCCAGTCAGCCTGGCCTCTATACCGTTTCCCTTTATACAAAGTTTGGAGGGTGAGTTTCTGTGGCTGCTCTGCACACCTTGTCTTGTCCATATCCATTTGCATCTGTATCCAAATCCTGTCTGGAGGAAATCTGGAGGAAAGCCCGGGACAGAGCTCAATAAAGAAATGAGGGCTGCTGTGATAGAAAAGACAGGTGACTAGAATGAGCTTCTCGATTCCATGGTTAGGGCACATTTGATTTAATCCAGTGTAGACCTGAGCCTCCACCCAAAGAAGGAGGTCTTGCTCTCCCACCCTGTGTTTGGTCTCTTCCCCCCTGCCAGCCTAAGTATTTGCTTCGATGTGTGGTGAGCTGGACTGGGGACCATACTGGGCTGAAAATTAACCTTTTAGGGGTTAATCTTCAACTTGGTCTGAGCACTGAGATGAAGGCTCATCACCAGCACCTGAGATCTTTCTTACTGAAGCTGTTCCTGAAGCTTGTGACATTGGGCATCTGTACTGGCCCTTTCAGTTCCCTTTTCCTAGTCAATGTGCTCCTCTTAAAAAACCCATGACATATGACAGCATTATTATTAATTGTTACTGTTGTTGTTATTACTATTTTTGCAGAGAAGGTTCATCAGGAATAAGACACTACCATATAAAAGAAACAGTGACGTCACCAAAGCAGTACTACCTCGCAGAAAAACATCTCTTTAACTCCATTCCAGAAATAATTGAGTATCATAAACATAATGCAGCAGGTAGATGAACTGGATTTTTTCTGTCACTTAGCATAGATTTGACAGGGACCTTGAGGCATTTTAGAGTTTTAATGAAAGTTTTTAGGTTTTCACAGATCCTGCTTTTCAGGAAAGTAATGAGACACTGCATTTTCACATTTTTTTTTCAATATAGGCAATCATTTGAAAGGTTTTATGTAAACATATAGATATTTTAAAATATAAATATATATATATATATACACGTGTATTACTGTCCCCAGAGTAACAGAAGAATAGCTGTATTGAGTCAGGAAAAGTAATTAGTTTAGCTCCACATAATGTCTTTACCAGCTGCCTGTATCCCACAACAGATGGACAGGGATGGCACTTCCCCGGAGTACTCACCAGCCACTAGCTTTTTACCTGCTGGTCACCACTGCTTAAAATGATCTAATCTTCCCCTTATAGCAAACAGATTAGGACAATAATAATGTGTTTACATGTGTCTTTGTAAAGCTTAGACACTTTGGAGCTATGTCTGTTGCTGTTGTCTGCCAACTTTATGATGGGATATGGAGAGTTTAGGACTCAGGTTCAAGGCACAGATACCAATATAGTATATTTTTTTGCAATCCAGTCTGTGCATAAATTTCATTCCTGAGCTATAGTTTCCAGATGTTTATGTCAAACTCAGATATCCCAGCATTTCCTGATGGTATTCTGAAAAATGCCTTTCTTGAAAATATACTCCCAAAACATAACCTTTCTTTGAATTCGTTATAACTGATGTTACTATTATTTTTAATTGCATAATTTCTTTGAGTCCTGTCAAGCTCTGACAAGCATTTAGAATAATATTCAGCTACCATGCACCTTTTATTTTGTGTATGTAAAATCCACACGTGGGAGTGGTGGCATTAATACATACAAACAGATGATCAAAAGTAATGTTGTGAGTTTTAGATAATTTTTCTGATCTTTGAAAGGGGTCCCCAGCCTTTAGTAGTCCAGAACTGTAAAACACAAATACATATGCATATATGTATACCCATCTCTCACCAGTAAAGAAGATGCAGCAAGTTAGATGTAGTGAGTGCTCCTGTGTACCTCTTAGAGCCACTTTGAATGGTCAACACAGCTCCATAGCAGAAAATATGTTCAGAGCTGTAAATAGTTATAGGCTTATTGTTAATCAGTGTTGAAGTCTGCAGTGAACAAGTGGTTGATTTGCTGCCTGGCACTATTTCAGAAGTAAACTGTGTCTCTTGAATTATCGCTGAACCTCAGGTCTTGTCACCAGGCTGCGTTACCCAGTCACCCCAAAGAAGACAACAGCACCAACAACAGCAGGATTCAGCTATGGTAATTGTGTGTTAAAATCATCTACACATATCTTTCCAAAAGGGTTTATATATGTTAAGATGCTGCAATGTTTTCTAAAAATGTTTTGTACTATGATTGGCTATACTAATTTACATGGGTCCAAGTTGTAGCTTCTAGACCTTGCACAGAGCATCGACATGCAGAGGTGTCCTGGCTGGTGGTAGGTGTGTGGTGACAAGAGCAGCAGTGAGGAGAGTCAGAACATGTCACTGGTGCTCCAGGGGAATTTGGCATCTTTCCCCACACTTCTGTGAACACCTTGAACTCCACAAGATTAAGGAGCTGTCTTTGGCTCCTTCATATAAGCCTCCAGACTTCTGACTCAATCTTGGCCCTTTGATCTTTGTGGAAAGGTTATTATTTTTTTAAATATAAATTTGGAATAACCTGTTTAAGCATGGCACATTGGGTGATGTGAGCAGTTTGTACACATTGGCACAACTTTCTATGATGGCAGCTTGTGGAAATCAAGTCTGATAATATCGGTATGTAATTACTGGCCTCAGGAAAATTTGGGTTTTGCTTTCTGTGTTGATCAGAGGCTGTTTTAAGGTCACATCTAGCTAAAACTCTGTTTAGTGAGGTATCAAAGTGTTTTGTTTTCAAGTTAATTTTAATATGTTTTCTCCCTAAATTCCCTAATTTGCTAGTAATCCACTTTCCCTTTCTTCTTCCTTATCACCTACCAGTTCAGTAGGTTAATTGATACAGAAGTCATGGGTTTTCTTTCATTCTGTTTTATAGAGAAATGGGAAATTAATCCCTCAGAACTGACATTCATGAGAGAACTGGGCAGTGGTCTGTTCGGCGTAGTGCGCCTTGGGAAGTGGAGGGCACAGTACAAAGTGGCCATCAAAGCAATTCGGGAAGGGGCAATGTATGAAGAGGATTTCATTGAAGAAGCTAAAGTAATGATGTGAGTTGTGTGCTTGACACTTTTATTGCCAGTTTGAGGCCTCTGATGCCATAGGCTGATTATAAATAAAATACTTGAGGCAGGTGGTATGTTTTCAGTTTAGTGGGGTGGAGAGCTGGGAGGAGGAAGTAGTAACCACATGATCTCAATCTTTTCAGGAAACTAACACATCCTAAATTAGTTCAGCTGTATGGTGTGTGCACACAACAGAGACCTATTTACATCGTGACAGAGTTCATGGAGCATGGCTGCCTTCTCAATTACCTGAGACAAAAACGGGGAGTTTTGAGTAAAGATGTCCTGCTCACTATGTGCCAAGATGTATGTGAGGGAATGGAGTACCTGGAGAGAAACAGCTTTATCCACAGAGACCTGGTAACATCCCCTTAGGCAATACACTCCTCTTTGGAATTTTTATGTTTGAACTTACCTATTACTTTTAAAACAGCCTCATTGTGAAGAACTGCTTTTGCTTTTTTGTAAGTAGTTGAAGTTGGTTCTTTTGGATCTAATCAATTTTCTAAAACAGCTCTGTACAGAAAACAATTTTCTGTCTCCCAGGAAATGGGATAAAATCTAAATGTTTCATAAAGAATTAATAGCTATTTGCACTCATACAATAGTCTGTCACTGTTCTGTATTGGTCCCATTTTCACCAATCATCAGTCCCATAAAATAGTAAATGTTTTTCTGGTGATTTTTTACAAAAAGTTATTGTTGTCAAAACAAGAGCAAATGCACATGTACTTTTTATAACGAGAATACATCACTGAACTTGGTATATTGGTGAACTTGCTAAGCAATGAGATCAAAGTCCTCATTAGCTCATTATAATTTGCTTGCAAGAGGCTGTACGTTTTTCATCCAACTCTAACCATTCCTTTTGCAGGCTGCCAGAAACTGCTTGGTGAGTGACTCAGGAGTGGTCAAAGTGTCAGATTTTGGAATGACAAGGTATGGCTGACTATGCAAACACATTTGTGGGGATTTTGGAAAATTCACCTAACCTTTGGACTTAGCCATAAAGCAACACATGCCTAGCAAAATTACAGGAAAAAAAGAGATTTTTTGACTTCTAGAGAACATCCTTTGGTTTATTTTTTTCCAGAACTTTTAAAGCTTTTTCGTTCTGTGGTCACATGTCAATTTCTTTACTCATTTTAATTCTGGAAAAATCAAAACTAGGCAGCTTATTCTCTAAAGAAATAAGTGTGTTATGAGAGGCCTAACTTTGAATTCACTTTATCTCACTGATCTTAGCATGTTTCTGTAGTATCTGTGAAAATCTTCTAAATTTTAAACTTGTAGTGATGCAGGAGGCATATTAGAGCTTGTGTCTTCGACAGCAGAGCTCGTGCTGCAGAGATCAGATCTGTTAATCTGTATTTTGGGAAATAAATTATAGAAAGAGGCTGTTCAGTGAGTCTGAGGTCTTTTTGGGGTAGATGGTTCAGAGTTGCATTTCATTAGCAGAAGTGCTGGGAGATGCTGAGATCTGGAGTGGGGCTTATTTCCTGCCCTTGTTAGCACCTGTGGGTGATACATCAGGTGGGAAACGTGTGGGGAGTGGGGCTTGCAAAAGAAGTTACAGCACCATGGTTTGACTATGCTCTTCTTGGCTTTTGCCACCTTTCTGTGCTACTGAGTTTCTGTGTCTCCTGACACCTGAATTAAGCCTGACCAGTGAGAGACAGCACATTTCTCTCATAATACAGACGTTTAACTTCTAAGTGTACTATATCTATGTGGTATAGCTGACAATCACAAGAGAGACTCTGAGGTCATAAAGAAAATGAACTGTGTCTTGACTGAAACACTAGTACTGCCCCAGAGAAGCAGATTTTATTGTGTGATGCTTAATAGTCATGGCCATTAGATGGCAATATGAGCTTCTAATACTCCACATCTAAATTATCGTTTGAAGGCTGGCTGAAGGATATGGGGTTTTTTGGATGTTAGTTTGGGTTTGTTGTTTTTTTTTTTTTTTTTTTTTTTTTTTTTTTTTTTTTTTTTTTTAGGTATGTCCTTGATGATCAATACACAAGCTCCTCAGGGGCCAAATTTCCTGTGAAATGGTGCCCCCCAGAAGTTTTTAATTATAGCCGATTCAGCAGCAAGTCAGATGTGTGGTCGTTTGGTAAGACATTCATCGCTGAAAGAATTTTTACATTTTATCAATAGCAGTTAAGCTCCAGTCATTGGGAAGGTTTCAGACACCTGAGAAGAAGCTCAGAGAAACTATTTGCCATTGCTTTACGCTTGCATAAATTTCCACTGAGACCTTTAGAACTCTTATTTATTAAAGCTTATGCTATTAGAATAAGATGTTTTCAGTGATGACACATGCAAGCACTTTCTAGAATATGGATCTCAAACTATTTATCTATCAGAAATCCTAAACCCAGAACTCAAAATAAACATATATTTACAAGTTATTTACTAATTTTCTTCATGTTTATTTTATTTTCTTTTTTTCTAAGGTGTTCTGATGTGGGAAGTCTTTACAGAAGGAAAAATGCCCTTTGAAAAAAGCTCCAACTATGAAGTGGTAACGATGGTTAGTCAAGGACACCGTCTGTATCGGCCCAAACTAGCCTGCAAGCAGGTGTATGAAATGATGATGATGTGCTGGCAGGAGGTATATACTTTTTTATTCTTTTGTCTTTGAATTGAAATAAAGTTAAATATTGCAATAGTGATTAATCCCTTTTGCAGCGTTCTGACTGTATCCAGCTCTCTCAGCTATTTGCGTGTTTATTGCCAAGACAAAGATCCCCCCTGGTTTGCAACTGAACTAGATCTGTGATAAGAAAAAACACCCAGGAAATTTCTGTGAAATAAACGAACTATCAGATTAAGTAGGCAAATGCATTAGTAACAAAACAAAATGATTGATAACTCTGTACTGGTCAGGATTATATTAATGTACAAATACCACTAGCAAAAAAAATTCAGTCAGAATGGTTCAGAGATAGAGAATCTATTTTTTATAGTGTCAGTTATTAATCATTACAGAAACATGCCAGAATGACCAACAATATTTTTACAGGAATACCTAATTCCCTGATTATAAATTCTATAGGAAATATAGATTAACTTGCAGTTAAATCTAAATACAAATCCACAGGTTTATCAAGAAAGAAAGAAAAAAAAAAATGCTAAGCCACCTAACCAAGAAAAATACTGTACAGTTTACTTAGGGTCAAAGGGGCAGCAAACCCAAGTGTAATACTTTATCAACTAAATTGGGATAAAACTGTTTTTGTAGTGTTAAAGAAGAAAGCCTCTAAGAGGATCAGTGCATTTAATGAAATGTCTCTAATTTTGAAAGAGCAATCCAAGAAACCAAGAATGGAAAGAGCTACGTTATTTATTTTTACTTAGTTTTTGCAAAGGGGGTGCTAAGGAAACACTACTCTATTCCAGTAATAGATGATATGCTGTCTGATGCTTGTCTTGGAGGAGAAGGTGCTGAAACAGAGAGAAATCAGTCATCAAACCACCTGGTGCAGATCTAAAACTTACAAACCAGCTGGTTAATGCAGAAAAAAATACATTAAAAACAACAGTGCCCTGGAGGGCTGCAAAATGACAAATTTCTCTGTAATTCAAAAATGCTTTTTGTACAAGCCAGGAATAAATTTTGTTTCTAGTTGGTAACCTGCTTGACATAGTCATTAAAATGGAGTAACAAATTACCTTAACAGTAAGTTTTTAGTGCTCTTTGAATATTAATATGTATTTACAGGATGCATATCATATCATCATGTGGAAGAGAGAGAACCTTTGAGAATCACAAACAGGGCACAAGTAATGACAAGATACTGTCAATCTTTGTAATAAAATATGATTAAGTGTAGGTACCTCAGTCCTCATTTAAATAATTTATTAATGATTTGTAGAGAGAGGTGAATACTGAGGCTTCAAAATTCAGCTGGTGATACAAATCTAATGAGCCTGATAAATGGAGGAAATTAAAGTTATCCATATATACCAAAGATGCTAAATTAACTGTGTCAGCATGGAGACTATTTCAGTGTGTTGCTGTAATTAAAGAGAACAAACAGCATGTTATCATATGTAAGGAACTGTATGGAAGATAAATGGAGTAGATGAAAGATGCTGTTATATAAGTCTATAATGCAATCTCATTTCAGACTCCAAAAAAATAATGTTGAAGTTGCTTCAAAGAATAACACTCAAAATTCTTAGGAGCATGAAAAACTTGCATAAGGAAAGATTGGAGCAATTACTAGGGGAGGTGGTAATAGAGAAGGGAAAGAAAGTGTAGCACTATGCAAAATAATGAATTTACATGAAGAATGTAGTTCAGCAACACCTGTTTATGCATTTTTGAAGCCTTAAAAAAAAGGTGATGCTTCCTGAGATGAGGCAACACATCCAAAATCCACTCAAGGAAATATTTTTTCATGTCTATCTCTAATGAAGCAGTAAATTAATTGCCACAGAATGGTATCAAGACCAATAATTTATAAAAATCAAGACAACTTTGTTGCTTTCTGATCACAGCTGTATATGGTTTTTGTTTTTAGAAACCAGAGGGGCGCCCGACATTTGAAGACTTGCTTCACACAATCATTGACATTGCAGAGGGTGAAGATGCTTTCTGAAGAAACAACAGCAGCACAAATACAGGAAAGAAGCCACTTTCCAGAGATGTGGTGTCACCATTTCTTTTGAAAAGCATGATCCTGTAAGCTACTGGATATTGTGAAATGGTGTGGGTAACCTGCAACACCTGATCAACTCCAGCACGAGAGATTTTTGTGATGGTGGGAAATGAGCAGTCTCTTCAGCAATACTAGCAGTCTCCATATTTTCTCTGTCAGTATTGCATAGCTGGCAATTGAGCTCTTCATGGAGGAAGAAGGAACGTGGCCTAAGCCCAGGAGCCTAATTTGCTTTTAGTGAGATGGGTTCATGTACTTACAGTCCACAGTTCTGAGTTCCTCTTTACACAGGCAGTAATATTTGTAGTGATTTGTGTGCTTTAAAATTGAAGTATCTCTAAATGGCAATTTACTGACACTGAAATGTTTCCAAAGATTCTTCAGAAACTCTCTTTTTTTCAATTGATGGGTGTTATATGACACATCAAGAACAAAAAAAAAATGCCTTGTTCATTTGCACATGGTATGTTGTTAACAGCACAGTCTTCAGTTTAGCATAACACTCAAAAAGCTTTGCTTCAGAGCTGAGCTGTGATATGCCCCAAGCCACGCTAGGCTGTTTGGTCAACCAGAGACCTCCCACGGTTAGTCTTGACGTTACTCATGAAAAGTAAGTCCAAGATTCAGAACAACTGGCTTTCAGTGTACCATAGTACCTTGTTTTGGATTAATTATAAAATAATTTATATGCTGTATGTGTTGTAAATATATAAATTCCATGCATTTATTTATATAAATTGTGTTTTCTTCTTGAAATTTTCAAGCACAAGTTTGTCCTGCCTTCACTTACATACATAACTTGATACATAAGCTTGTAAATTAAAGAAAGTAAACTCTCAAGTGTGTTTAAGGAGGGCTTCTCTTTCTGTCTGTCATCTGTACATACAGTGATCTAACCATTCTGTTCTTAAAAGAAAATGTTGTAGTACATGTGCGTGTAAATAAACTGGATCTTAAGTATTTTTTTGGAACCAAGTGATGTGTTGCCAGTAATTTACTGTCAGTGCATCACAAGCCAAACTCATTGTTCATGTGAGTATGCTGTGATGATAGTCCAAATCTATACATCTGTGTGTTTACACATTCTATACTTTATGTATATAGTATGAATATATATCTATATTAACTTTCCCATGGTGAAATGTTCAGTGCAGAAATGCCTGAACTCTCTTTAGAAGTCCTGTCTCCTGTGCTAGAGTAGAGGCCAGTGTCTCCAAAGTCTTGATGAAGCCTGTTTCAATTAATCTAATTTTGTAACACTACATATGAGCAGTATTTGCACTTCAATTTTGCTTTAGCCACCTCCTGATATTATACGTTTTTCTTTTGTTACTTATGCTCTTCTGCCATTTGTAATAGAAAATGAATTGCAAAAAACCTTTTTTAGTATTTTTTTGCAAGTAGGCAGAGACGAGTATGGTGAGGTTTGTTTCCAATCAAATTATTAAAGGTGACTATAGTTAGCTTAATGCATTCCATCATTCTTGCATTTGAGTGTTTCTGTAATAAATTTTGGAGATCCCTGCATGTTCAAAAAAGAAGTGCTTTTCTTTTTCATGCTATTCCTTTGAAAAGTTACAGACTCTCAGAAAATATGTAGATGGCTATTTCCTTTTTCTTAATGACAAAGTCTCAGAAGATTATTGCAACTACGCAAACCAACTTGTCAGTGTTGTCCAATCCACTACCCAATCAACACCAGCAGCATGAATTGTTAAAGGGGAAAACTAGGAGGTTCCACCTGTAGTAATAAAAGGATTGTGGAAGATCTAAGGTAAGTCCAGCTCATCTTTCCTTCCCTAACTGCTCCTTTGCACCCTAGTTTCTCAGCTGAGAGACTGAAAATTCTGGCATTGCCAATGCTTTCAGCAATACATCATCAGGAATTCTATGGTAATAGGTAATTTTTCCCTTAAAACACAAATTAAGCATAGGAAAATAAGGAGATTAATAGTTTTTAATGAACCTTAAACCTGTTTCCTTATAATAATAATATATTTATAATTAATTTATTTCATAAACAACAATCTAATTGTGCAGACTTTTGGTAGCAGTTTCTGCAGTGGGGTGGGTGCTTTGAATCCAACCCCTTTACCTGCCTCTTTCCAGCACCTGAGGATAATTTCTGCATACCTGCCAATGGATTAAATATTTACTTAGGATGTCAGGAACCGTGAGGAATCTAGTTTCTAGATTAATGCCTTTTTTTTTCATTAAATACAGCCTTACATGGTTAATTTTGGAAAGGATCAGAACAGCTCTGGAGGCAGCTGTCTTGCCGATTCTCCTGATGTCTTCAAAGGCAGGATGAAATTCTACACTGTCCTTTCTTCTGAATGAGCTCACTCGTCCTTAAGCAACTTCAGACCTTCCCCTTTTTGTTATTACTGAATTTTCTCAAATACGGGGGTCAAAAATTCATCTGAACAGAACTCTCAGAACTTCTCACAGAGCTGTGAGAAAAAGTCTTTCTGTCTTTCTGTCTGTCTTTTTCATATTTTTTTTTTCCTGTAAAATGTGTGTTTGATACTAGAAAGCAAGCACTGTTTTAATTTTTTTTTTTTTTTTTTTAATAGACGAGATGAATATCTAGTCTGGTTTGTTTTTTGTTTTGATTTTTATGTGTTTTTTTTTTAAGTGGGCGGGGTCAAGCAGTAATTGTGGTTTACTATGTTTCATATCAGAGTGAAGAAGAGCTCAGCTAGGGCTGTTTTACTGGCGCACCTGATGAAGAGAGGTTTGCATTTCCATTTGAATCTAAGCAGACAACCAGACATGATTCTTTCTACCTGTAAGTAAGCTGGGCAGTGTATTTTGCAGTTTTGTTTTGTGTGGCAGCAGTGTGCTTAGCAAATGAGCTATTTAAATATTGCCGTAAAAATTCCATTTTCTCTTGGGCTGCTTAGGTGATCTTTGTTCAGACTGCTTGTCTGGACTTTCAAAATTACTTCTCAAATATTAATCCAATGCATGATGGATTCAGCAAAGCAACTACTTTTAGAGAGATATTCTCACATACTGCCCTTAAGAGTATGTACAGCATAGGCATGAATAAGCTGTTTGGTAGAACTAGATCTGTCTTTCCTCCAGAGGAGAATTAACTCACTGGAAAGACAGAAAGCCTCTGTTTGCATATGTAAAAAGCTGAAAGCTTGTCTTTTAAAGCATTTTTAAAAGCAAATTATACTGTGACTTTCTACTAGATCATTGATTTTTCTAGTACTGTTGAAAGCTGACAGACATACCAGACCAGGAGGCATGCCAGGTGTTACAGTAAGTACCTGGGTTTCATGGGTGAAGCTGAGTTTGTGGTGTTGATCACAGTTAACCTGCTGCTCCACTGCAAGAGCAGGAACTTAACGCAAAAAAATGTTAGAAGAGTGCAAGTGTTAGTCATGGCCTACCGTGCTTTCAAAATCAGTAGTGCTTTGTGAAACAGTGAATCAGAAAAAGAAACTCAAGCTAAGAAAACTATGAAATAACACAATTATGAAATGCAAATTTTAAAGATTAATCTCTAACTTGTTACTTTTATTTTTTATACTACTTCCCAAAGGGTGCAAATTAGAGTGAGCTATAACTGAATAAAGAAGGAAGATTGCACATACAAAGTTGTGTAAATTGGCCACCTGTACAGATAGTGTTATCAACCCAAAGCATATTGCTGGGCACTGTGGGACTTGATCAGGCCAGTTATTGGCAGCAAAAGACCATCTCAAAGGGCTTGTGTGTTTTCACTAAGCCTTCTCTGTTTTCTTGGCACTATCTTTCTGCTTCTCAAGCAAACAGTTGTTTCTCACAGATGAACAATCCTTTATTCTTTCTCTAGCATCTCATTCTTTCTCTGTTGTCCACAGTTAAATTTGTTTTCAGGCCTCTAAGTTGATTATCTAAATGTCAGCTGCAAATGTTTAGTCTAAATGTTTGAAAGGCTAGTTTCAACACCAGTGTCCTATTATTTCCACTTCATCCACATGCTTCTCTTGCCATTTCTCATTTCAAAACTGCATCCTGAAAGGTCTGATTTTGATCCTTATAATTTTATAGACTATCATGGCTCTGTGCTAGTGTTAGGATTCATATTTGTTAACCTGTCACTGGGGAGACAATATGACACAGTTTTAAAAACAAATGCATTCCTTATTTCCAGAAAGAAGACAAGTAGTGAAATGGACTATGGCCATTGTTTCTGTGTTAAATTACTTGTAGAAATGAATAAGCTTTGCCAAAGGTTGCAAGAAATTGGAGAACTTTAAAATTCTCTATCCAACTGAAGAAGGAAGACTTGACAAATTCTAGATACAAGAGCTCAAATACTCATCTTGTTCAATTTAAACCTAGGTTTTAAGCTAGTGACTTCAGTTGCTTCATGATGACTTACCCTGAGGATCAAAGCCATATATGTTTTGGTACCTTATGTTTTGATAAAACTCAGGGAAATGTAAGCTGGAAAGGTCTAGTGGGGCTGTGGTTGCTGGAGAAACCTACTTTGCTGTGGACTTAAAGGACCCAAGATTTGACCACATTTTCTGGCGTTTTTGGGAAAATTTTTTGTTAGGTAGGAAAGAGAGAAGTAGGACCTGATAATAATAATAGGTCCATAAATACTTTAGTGGAACAGATTTTAAAAATAATTTCCTATTTAAAAACTCTTGGAATAGTTTTTCCTATTAAGATTTTTTCTTTCTGTCTTTCCTGTGTCCTGTCCAAGCAGTCTTGTCATTCACAACATGATAAATTTTATTGATGCCTCTCTTCTATTCAAAATATGGAATCCAAAATGTGATTTCCTTGCTGAAGCACAACTCTCACTAATCCCATCACTGACTAATTTTTAATTTATAAACTCTACAATCTGGCTACTTAAGTTAGGGACCAGGGGGGTCAAGGCCTGCTAGTAAATATGTGACTCTACCACCCTTTGATAAATCCAGAGTGTTTTGCTTCAGAAAAGGTTCTAAGTCCAAAACTGAAGGAAATCAGGTAGTTCG